ATTATTAGAAGTCACGAAAGAGGCAGAGGATACACAGGATTTTGAGGGAAAATAAGAGATGACTGGCATGTCATTTAGGTGAATGGGAGTTGGCCATTGACTTAAAATCAGACCTATTAACAAAGCAATATGCATTCACAGTGTTATATAGGTGTGGGGTCAAATCTTTATTCTCTCACTCTGCATTACCAACTGGCTCCTCAACCTGATACTAATTCCCAAGGCTTTCATTGATTCTTCTCCATCAATGGGAAGACGGATCCAAGTCATGCATGTCAGCAAAAAAGCTGAAAACTAAGATAAGTGTAACCTCTGAGCTTCAGGCGTGGAATGGAAACTCTTGGAAGATAAAATATTCACTTCAGGGAGTTCTGCCCCATTCCCAGAGTGAAGCTACCCTGAGGGCTACTGAGCCTGAGTGAATCCTTATAAGCATCGTGTTTGGATCCAAGACTGAATTGAAGCAGTCATGGTACTTTTTGAGGACCAAACCCTGAACTTAAATATAAAAGTTTTATTAAATAATGAATACTAAAGGCCATTAAGGACATATCAATGACAAAACTGCTTGCGTTAGTCAAAAGTGATAAATGTGCCTAGTAATTGATTTTTACCTGTCTGTTTTGCAGTTTATAGTTGTGTTAAATCTTGATTATAAATTGTAATGAGGAGAAAACCACGAAGAATTAAGAAACTTTAAATGTTTATAATCTACATCACTGTGTAGTGTTGCTGGGTGACCATATCCATGTGGTGATTCACCAAGAGATGACTGGTTTCGGTACCAGAATAAATTACTCCTTAAATAATAAAAGCAAAATAACATGTATATGTGTACTCAGAAAAAAAGCTGCACTCACCTTAATGCAAATAATTTATCTACTGCTGTTACTGTTGTTACAGCATGCTTAATCTTTTACAGAAAGGAGTTTGTTACTTTCTTAACATCAATGTTGTGACAATAATTGAGGTCTATGAATTGAGACACCTATATACCTACCTGTCAACTCAGGCCATGAACCTGTGAGCAGATTAACCCCTGAAAGGTCAGGCAGTCCTAATTAAAACCTCTAGAACAATGCAGTCTTACCGCAATTCTGGCATGTTTACCAATGGACGAAGCAGTAATGACTTTCTCATGGTTTCAGACTCCTTTAATGCTTGTTATGCTCTTTTCTCACACTTTCCCATACATAATATATCCATTTTGCATAGCTACTGCAATGCAGTCTGTTCCAGGTCTGTGCCTTAGGCATTGCATTTCCATTCATATGTCCATGGCCTCATTATTTTTGATTAGTTTCTGAGCTAGTCTTTCCAAACATCAGTTTCTGGAGGTTTTGGAGCGATCAACTGTCAGGGCCACTCCTTGTTCAGTGATCAGATGGGTTTCTGTAGCTTTTTTCAATCTTTAGATGTAAGATGCTACTTAGTTTAAAAAAAAAAAGGTTCTCCAAGAAAGAAAGGGCATGTCTACCCAAGTGGGTGCTGGAAGGAGAGAGTTCTCTCCACACCTTGCTTCTCCACACTCTGTTCTTCACATAAGGGATTAGCCATTGTGTAGTGTTCTGCGAAAATAGCTGCCAGGCAGGATCAGCTTGTACCTGATTAGCATGGAGCATCAGAAGCCCAAGCGTAGTCCCCTCTGCACCCATCCATAGAGCTGTGGCCACAGTGAGTAGTTTACGTACTAACAAAGAGGAGCTGGCTGGCCCTGCAGTGCCGGAGCACTGAAACTACCCAAAGATTTCCAAATTGGTAACCACGACAGATTTTACACGTATCACTTTGATCCCAGTATCTCCCATATATCTTGGTTGAGAATGGGTCCCTGATGTGAAAAACAAAACTCCCCCATGTGTAAAAACAAAGGCAAAGAGATGGGTCCTATTTCAGAACACTACCACACATTTGGGTTTCCATGCATTTTGTCCGAAGAGAATTTTAGGGGTTTATGTGCGTGTATCCAGGACTTCTAGAGTAAGATGAACCCAGTCGGAACAGTAGCGTGAACTGGGCTTGAGCCATGCTGGGCATGCCCCTTGAGCATATACGCGTCAGTTCTACGGCAGAGATGACCCGTGCGTGCCCTCTAAAGCCAGCACATTAGGACATCATCATGCATGTTCCGTAGAGCTGATCACTGCACGTGCAGAAAGCCCGCTGAATCCTGAGTTACTGTATACACATAGTACCATCAGGGGCACAGTAAGAGTAAAATCTGGGCCATGTGGGGGCATTTTAATATACTATATGCAAAAAGTCAGCTGAAAAGTCAACTGACATGTTCCCAAGCTGTGGGGCATTTCTGCACAAGCAGCTGGTGCACAATAATTTTAATGAAAACAATTACATATCATTAAATACATAATGCACATATTTGCTTTCCTTGTTTTGCTCAAGTGAAGACTGTATTTCTGGGCCAAAATGTCTTGCACTACCTCTTCGTTCTCTGCATATCTTTTTTTTTTGTAATTAACAAACTTTATTACTGTATGTTTGGATAATCGGTGCCTTTTGATGCAAAATGTTTTAGTCTTCCTTACCTTTTCTTTTTTACTCCGTATTACATTATCGGAGGCTGAGGTTTGTTAAAGTTTTCATATATGATATATTAATATAATTCAGGCATCTTCTACTGCATTAACACTGTGGATTTTCAAATGGATTTGTGACTGACAGGGTCTCCATAAAAATAAATCAAGCCCAGCAGCGATTCCTCCCCCGTTGTTCTTACCTCTTCTCAGTTTGCTATTTCCTGTTACTCTTAATTGTCTTGTCCTTGCACTCTCTTCCCACTTCCCTGTATTTTGTCCAACCAAGCTGCACAACAGAAGAATCTGGTCACGTGCATGCCCAAGAGATTAATTAATCTTTGCGCCTTTAAGCCTCCTGAGCAGTTCAAGTCAGAACAGCAAAGAAAGAATCTGCAGCAGAACTATCTTTCTGGAAATAAATAACAGCCTCTTCAGAGCCCTGTTGGGTATATATATTGCCTTATTTCTGATCTAATCTTGCTATTTTCAAATTCTGAACGCTTATGAATTACTTACAAAAATGGAAGCCTGCAGTAGAAGTCAAAACTGGTTGTAATTTTCTTGAGTTGCGTTTAAGATTATGTGTACAGTCCCGTAAACCTAGGGGCAGCCTTTCAGTTAGTGACAGGCCAAAGTCTGCTCCTGTTGAAGGCTCTATCTTTGACTACAATAGCAAGATTGTACCTACCCAGAAGTAAGCGCTCTGCTAAAATCAGTCTGCTTTAATCTTACTTTCAATCTTCCTGCACAAATAAGGAAATGCATTCTTGTGCACCTGCAACAAAAGAAGCCTCAGTCCTCTGGGGAGGTGCCACTTCTTTCTTTTTATGCACCTTTTGGCACAAAAGCTGAAGCAAAAGGAGCGTGACTGGCTTCGGACTTTCCCTGGATTCCTACTATTTCCGGCTGCAAATAAAACTGGGGAAATTGTCTTCCCACCGGTAAACACAAGTTCAAGAAGCCAAGGGAAACAGCAGACAAGGAGACGTTTATGTAAATGCACACACTTCATGTAGTCTTTATCTGCCAGGTTTGCATTTTGTAGTTTCCCTCTGTGTGGTGCAGTCCACCAGATTTATCACTTAAGCGCTGGGTGGCGAACGGGGGAGTCTGGGCGGTCTGAATTTCCTGACGGGAGCCGAACCGAGAGGAAAACAAACGGGGCAAACCCCGTGAGTTACCCGGGAGCAGGTCGGTGCCGAGGGTGCAGCAGGCTGGCAGCCCCGCACGGCGCTACGGCAGCCGGGGCCCGCGGTGACATCCTGCACCCCCGGGGCACAAACAACGTGCCGGGGGTAGGGGGGGGAACCTGCAAGAGTCCCGTCCCCCCCCCCGGTCCCTGCAGAAACTCTCGTTGCGGGATTTCTATTTTCTCGGAAGGAGCTACCCCGCGCCGTTTAAGCCGGGCCACGGACGCTTCGCGCGGCGCAGGCGCCGCCGCGGGAGGCGGCGCGGAGGGCTGCAAAGCGCTGTGAAAATCAGAAAACCAGAGCCCGTTCCCGCGTGGGCCGGTCCCTCCGGTCCGGTCCGGCCCGGTC